CACATTCTTGTTTTATGCAAACTAATCAGCTGCATCTTTCGTTCTTGCAGAAAAGCAATGTATAATAAAGCAAGTACCAAACGACTTTCACTGAATGTCGCTTAAGTGATCATTGGAGCGAATGAGTCATTTGTCTTTTCTAGGAAATTATATCCTATAGTTCAGTTGATACAGAATTAGAAAATGAGAATACTAGTCAGGCATCTGCTTACATCTCTAGACTTCCTTTCAAAAGAGTGTCGCGCCGTAGATCTGGCTTGTAAGAAGAGTTTGTAAGAGAATTATGAAAAGAAGACTAATTTTTTTTTCATTAATTCAGAGTTGTTACAGAAGAGAGAGTCGTGTTTCGTATGTGTAAACATATGAAGTAGGAAAAAATGGAACCTAGCGGTACGAAAAGGAACAAAAAACTTGTACTCCAATCAAAAAGTTGCTGATAGTTCAGCTCTAGGCTCTTTTTCTTTCTTTTTTCTTGTCACAAGAATATGACATTATGGATTCACATATTCGACAAAATATCAACATTATTATCTATGAGATGGGAAATTCTTAAAAAAAATCAATCAGAACTCATCTTAATGGTTGACCGGAGGACAGTACGGTAACTTCATTTTTTCATGATTACTCACAGCATTCACGTTGACAAACCAGAGCGTCAGACGTGATGTTTTGGAAAAAAATCGCATACAATCCCACATGTACCAGAGAGATACTAAGAATCATGCTTTAACGTATCACAAACTTTATGAAAACCTACCTTTACGGTCAACCAGGGATATTCGCATTTTCACGAGAACAGAAATGACAGCGAATCATGGAAAAAAAATCAGTACGAAAGTAATAATAGCAAAATATATCAGTGGATCATAGCGAATAAGTAAACGCTCGAGATATTTACGTTTACATAAATCACAATTTGATTCCTGCGTAAAAGAGGCTGCGCGAAAAGTGTAGTGGTTCGAGGCTATATGCATTGCAAATAAGGTTGTTGGTCACCCGCGTTATGGGCTAACAAAGCCTGCATAACATATGGAATGGCGACATGGTACCGAAGTGTTTTGAGAGTCGAGAATCCCAATTCTTGTCAACCTTGACATTGTTAAAAAAAATTATGCAAGTCTTACGGACTGCCCTCGCTGAGACTGTGGCTTGACTGATATTAATCATCGGTGCTGATTCCGCAATTTGGCGACTGATGTTTCAGTGACTTCGTCTTTTCCAGAATATGGACGTAGGGACTCACTTAAAATAGGTTCAGGCTTTGAAGAAGCAAAGTTGCTGAAAAGTCGGCCATCGAATCACTGCATATACTGGTGCCAACCTTGTGTTAACTCAACAAGGACAGCTTGTAAGATTCACTGCAAAAGTGTAAGGTGTTAACTTGACACATCAGTTTGGTATTTTTTGCTTGGTATATCGATGCAAAGGAAAATGTTCATTTGTTCATCTCTACCATATCCACCGCTACAATGGTTAATGCAGTCCGTCACAGAACCATCCTGAGTTTGCCACCGATGAGAATATCAGATGTTGCTGCATTCTGCTCTTGCGGTTCTTTAGCGATAGAGTCGATAAGACCGCTACTAATGAGAACAACATAGACGAGCCAAGCGTTAGGGCAGTTTGGCCGGTATAATCGTTTTCAGTTGGACTAGCGGCAATCTTCCTAAAACGCGTTCGCACTCTAGCAATAAATCAAGAATCACTATCCTCCATAATTCAATGACATTCCCTTAAATATCAACAAAAGCATAAGTGCATCAGTTTTTGCTATTATGTTTATGGTGAAATCTGAAGTTCTTAGATACAACTAAGTGGAAAAGGGCGATATTATCAAAGTATTCAACGCTGCAAAAATGCGAGCATTGAAACATGAACGAATGACATCTTTTTGATCACCCAACATGCGAGGCACACATGCGAGTATCCAACTTCTCTTACTTTGCCGACTGTTGGAAAATATTGAGAATAGGAACACAACTCATATATCAAAATGAAAGCGTGAAGTTTCGCTCTGGCATCATAAGACAAAGCAGAATATTTGTCGACGGCTGCTTCCTCCGCAGTACGTTAAGAATAGCAGAAAACTCGTTTTGATTGGAGGAGAAACTTTTTTTAACCCGACAAATTTTGCTCATACAGATGGACAAATGTCAGTACCAACAATATTTACAATGAGATCCCAGTTAAATCAAAAAATATGGCTTTCGGATTTTTATTAAGACTCATCAACAATGCGGAAACTGATGGGCAATCCGATGGTACGGCTATTTTTGTCTAAATGAATACTCTGCTTTCAAGACGGAAAATGTAGATACAAATTTAATGAAAGTTATGGTGAGTCAAAGTGTTGTAATCTTGCAAAAAATAGCTGCAACTTGCTTTGTAAAAACGTTTCGTACGATTTTATTTGCATTTCGAAAGGTGTTCAGATAGATTCATGATGAGATGTCCTTCCAGACTGAGCTCATGTTATGGTTACAAAAGTGGGCAGTGATAGTGCTTGATAGACGTGCTGCTGGTCCAACACGTACTAGCCGCACCAAATCTCTAGTCCTTTAGTGGTAATTTGCTACCAGATATGCTTGATTCGAACACTCCTCCAATCCGCTGTATCGAAAGTCAACATTATTAGAGAAGCAGCAATACTCAAGCAAAGGCCGAACAAACACGTAAAAATTTGAACAACTTCAGGACGATGAGCGCGAAGAAACAGGTGGTATACAAGAATTGCTGGAATCCATACAATATAGTATGTGGAAATGGATTACGTGAATAATTACTTTACTATACTCAGTTGAAATTCGGCAGGTCGCATGCAATTCAGTTCGTCAGCTATCTAATTGTCATAAACGATGTCAACCAGATTATCCCAATAAGCAAATAGAATGTGCATATTTTTTATAATAGTAACCCTGCCTTCCTCAACCTATACTTCTGGCTGATTTTATGACTCAGGATACGACAACACTCACCAACATGTTCGGTGGGGCTGGTCTCCACCACTAAGTGAACAATTTACAAAAAAAAAAATACGCAAGGGTTTTGTAAAGCTGTTCCCGATACGATTATGGGCTTGACATTCTTTTACTGTGATACCGAAAGCCTTTAATTGGATAAGTCACCTAACCAATGTACAATTACTGGGATCTAGCGAAGGCGAAATCCATGCAAACTTTTTTCAACGTGCTTTATTAGTACTTGACATTTCCATCACTTAGCAGAACCACGGACACGAACGTCAGTCATTGTGATATAACTACTTTATGATATAAACTCGTGCCTATTAATAAGAGTCATTGCTCTGTGATCAGTGCCGAGACAAATAGAAAATCGGCTGTGGAAATTACACATATTGTCTATCACGAATATTTAATTTACACCCTGGGTTTTTTCGGCTTTTCCAAGAAGCACGTTCAACGCACTTTTTAGGGGTAGAGTACGCACGTGTTTTTTCGGTTTTTTTATAGTTTCAAACCGAGTCTTCTATTCCGAAAGTGTTGGTGAACTGGTGTCAGACCATTTTGGTGGATAAAAGTACCGACTTTACATCGGTATGCTCCTTTTAATGAAGTCAAATGCATGTTCTCAGGGATGGATTAAGTGTGAACAATTTTAAATCTCTAGTAAACTCCTTTTGTTATACTGTAAACCTGCAGTTATACAAATCACGGGTCATCATCGTGAGAAGAATCGTTTTCTTTCTGAAGAAATCCTTTTTCGAATGCAGCAAACTTCCTTGCGATCTCTGAGGCTTAGCAATTGCTAGTGATGACTAAGCAACGACCATAGCACGACTACTTCAGGTTTACATGGAAAAAACACTCACAAAAACACTCGCCGTGTTGATGAGGGTGAATTCTAAACTTTCAAGTTGTAATCTCTTAATCACGTCGAAATCCGAACATTCTAAACGGATGGAGATTCTGATCCAACAAAGGAGATGGAGAGTGTGATAGGCTCTATACAGTTCAAAACAGGTCATCTAAATATCGCGCCAAAGTTCGTAGAATTTTGATCCTCTGAGCAGAAAGACTTTATCACAAACAGTGGTTAGCAGTCAGCTTCCACGTCCAAATGTCGCTTAACACCTTGGAATGACTGTGCTGCTGTAGTGATGATTACAATGCATAATCGTAGTTCAACACCCAGTTACATCAGTAATTATGTAAGAATAAAGTGACATGGCATTACTAAACGAAAGGCAAAGAAGAAGGGACTCTCGTTGATCGGTCCTTGGGGTATGAGCCATTTCTTTGACATCACCAAGCATATTTGAGGTAAGGCATATGACTTGTGTTGGCATTACAATATTAGTCAGGAATGCTATCCTCCGATATAAGTCCGTTATCAGGTGGTCAACTTCAGGTTGGATGATATGCATGGTAAGCTTACGATAGACATCACCTTAAGAACATGTGAGTATTGCGCGGTACCTCTGACCAGTGCGCCACAAAAACGCCACCACATGAATAAACTTAGTGCAATACCGTCAATATAATGCCGCGTCTATGATTGTGAAAAGATATAATGAGTAAAGAAAGATCTAGGAAAAAACTGAAAAAGTCTACTGCTATTAAGTTCCTCGTGAGGAATTGTCGCAAAAATCTCTTCGTGCCAAACCACTTAGGTGAACTGATTGCGACATCGTTTCACCCCGTCTAGTCCGCATGCATTCATTGTAACTGTAATTAGCTGAGATTTGTTGCTAGACAATTAACATCTCCCTTTGTAAGGAGCAATGAGCAAATGTATTCAGTGGAATAAACCGGGGTTGAGTGGAAGCCACACTTGAATTCTTTTAGGAAACGAAATGTGTAAGGAAACGGCCATAGTAGTGCAGTGTAGTATGGCGACACCGGGTATATTGGATAGTTTCACAACAATGCAGCTTTTCATAAACCAAAGTTTACCATTTACAATTTCTAGTGTTATTACTTTTTCTCAGTGTTATAATGTTTTATATACTCCTAAGAGAATTGAGTGGTGAGCAAAAATACGACCTCAGATGGGAGTCGAACCCACGATCATCCATACCGGGAAAGCGTGCTACCACTACACTACAGAGGTACATTCGAATCATCACTCATTTTTTACCATCTCTGTGTTAGCTACCAGCTAGCATCCTTTGACAGGTTTGTTCGGGTATGCGATAACGCTTCATAAACCCAGCTGAGTCGACATCCATTGTGATAGGTAATACTCGGAATTTCTAATGTTTTTACTGCTTTTTTGCAGTGTTATGATGTTTCACATACTCCTAAGAAAACTGAGTGGTGGGCAAGAATAAGACCTCAAACGGGAGTCGAACTCACGTTTCATCCATATTTATATTAATAATTTTTGTTAAAAGTTTTTCCCAGGTACATAACAAATAAAAAAGAAGAGCTGTAAAGGAGGTGAATGTTTTTTTTTTGTTTTGTCATCATATTTACTTATCTATCTACCTACTACTTATATGACCCAACATCACGCGCATCACACAGCGCGGATCCTAGCACTTTTTACATTCGATTCATTTTCTCACGTCCACTATCTTCGAAGGTGTGCGAACTTCTTTCCGTGTAACCTCGCTTGCTATGAAATGATCTTTTTACTTTATCACGGTGTCGTTGAATGATAAAATGATTTTAATCCTGTGATTTCCTCGCTAGGACGTCCTCATATAGGTTAAAGGGAATGAGTTTTATCTTTAGCAGATCTGGTGCCAACTTCTTCCTAACGGAGAACGACATAATATATGTCCAAAGCGAGATCTAGATAGGTTTTCGTCATATTGAAGCGTCCCATAACGAATAAGATTACTATCTGCGCGCTACTCGCCTTCTTATCCCGCTCATTACGAGCAAAAATCCAACCAGGTTTTGGCTTCCACTTCTTCGCATGCATATCAGACCATTCATTCACGGAAAGTCGGACAATCAGCACCGGACATACCTGGTCAATTTGAATTACTCCGATCCTTATAGGAAAGCTCACTGTCGTCAATTCCAGAACTCCTTAAAAGTCTGCTCAACTAAAGATCAGTGAGGAGGAAAAACCCTTAGCGAAGGTTAAAGTCCTCCACACGCAGTTTAAAAAAGCGTTCGCGAAGCATGAGAAAGCGATTCACATAAAAAATCTGGAATCCACACGCCATATCCATCTGGTGATGTAGAAAAGAACTATCAACGCTTCTGATTATTTGTCTCTAAATAGATTAAGCAGGCAAAAAGATGATAACTTTCGACGCATCCACCTCAATTTATTCGATATACAGACTATGTGTATCCCTGCGAATATATCGCTTATGCTTTCTTTACGTCCGCTTTGTGCTGTGCTTGAAAATCTTTATCACATATATATAACTCAACAGCTTGAGCAAATTGCCTAATGCTCATCATTATCTAGACTTTGTTAGCCTTGTTTTGCTTATATATAGGTTTCGTCTTATCAAAAAACCTAAAAATCTCGCTAAACAAGCCAACATGTCGGATTTGTCAATCATTTCCTCAAACAAAAATTGTACCGTTCCCAGTGGGGCGCCTAATCGTCTAATATACTTCTGCCCAAAAAACACAACAAACAGTGGATTTGAGTTTTCTATTATTCCACCTATTTACCAGGAGGTGAGCTCATAAACAAGACACTGGTTCGATACCTTCCCTCAACACTCTCGTGCACTTTTGAAGTAGATGAGGAATGTTGTATTAATTACTGAATTTAACAATCTTGCTACATACCCGCAGCTCTGCCAGTAACAAAATTTGCTTTTTCTGTCTTGCAGAACGGCTATTTACAACTATCCAGAGGTAAACAATGAGAATTAGGTGCAACTGCAACGCCTTGATCCGCATATTGTATAACTTTTGAGAGACTATGATATCCTTTCTAATATATATATATATATATATATATATATAATGTATATATACATATGTGTATGTATATATACACAATCTTTATGTGCATATATATGCATATATATATATATATAATATTTCAATTAACTGCAAGAGCATCAGTGCTATCCGTTTATCCCATCTGTTTTCTATAGAAACAGTCCGCGCTGCATTCCATTCCATTCAAAAATAAGTACGAAATGAGTTTCTCGATTCAAATACTTGCAGCACTTCTTCTCAAACAAACACTCAAAACGGATCAAATTTTTGCAGAGCGGTTCGAGGAATGAAAGCAAACGACTCTTCTAGGATGCAATGAAGGTGTCAAGTGATGCCGAGGATTTGTCCCTTCAGCAAATGTGTGATATATTTGTGTGCTGACATATCAGCATAACATCCAAATAAATTTCCATTCGCCTTTAATCTACAAAGAAGTATTAGGAAACAATAGGCTTTGTGTAGACATTGTTGACATACTATTGTAACTCAGATACCATTTATAAATTCCATGTGTTTCGTTCTTATTTCAGGCACACATAGTCTACTTATCACTGCTTAGCTGACGTCTTTCACGTCAGCTTCAGTACTTTGTGCTGCACTCGACCAAACAAACGGACAAATTTATTGTATCGCACTTGTATGACAGTGATTGCTACATATGAACATACTATGCTCAAAAGCATGCGAAAACGCGGTCGTAGTCTAAAAATTTCCAATATCAAATATTTCTTAAAGAGCTTTCTCTCTAAATCCATTAACGCCCTTGACGCGATGCTGTAGGGGCGTTTAATGCAGAAGGCGTAACAAAATTTGATGCGTAAGGCGTACCGGCATTTGGTGTGGAATGCGGAGCAACTTCCGATGCGGATGGCTTAGCGGAGTTTGATGCGGATGGCACAGCCGGGTTAGGTGCGAGTGGTATCTCGATTTTTGATTTGGAAGGCTTAACAACTTTTTACTGGGAGGGGGTACAGACCTCTGACACGGTTGGTGTAAAGGCCTTCGACTTGGACGGGGGTAACAGGCGCTGATCTAGAGTCGGAACTCGTATTTTGAGTGGATTTCATCACCAGCGGCGATTCGCTTGCTAGTCGTTTGTACGACGGCAATGTCGATTGTACAGTGAATAATGTATAAAGAGGCTGAAAACAGTAATGTAATCACAAAATGGGAAAGATTATAGATAACCGAATATTCCTTTACCATTCCACTCCAGAAAGTTCAATAGGAAACATAAAGGAATGGGGCAAAGAGGAAAAAGACTCAGGCACCATCCAAATGCCTGAAAACAAGAATGGTGAGCTTGGGAAAGAAGTTCAACAAACTTAAGCTTGAGATTCAGTTCTTCTAAGACTATTCAAAATCACCACAGCCCAATTAGAGAGAGTGTAGTTCCCACCGGAGGTCTCTAGAGATACTTTGTCTCTTGTTAGCACGAAAACCATGCTACTTAAATTAACATTTTTGAAGCTGTGGCTGTAAAAAGAATGACGGCTTAATAGCAGACATTTGTTCAAAATACGAGAACTGAGATGAGTTGCCGATATTGTAATCAACGAAGAAGTAAAATAAAAAAAAAGAAAAGCAAATCATGTTCAGAATGGGAGCTGTTATCATCCAACAGAACTGCTAAAAAGCTGAAACCGGTCCTACGATGAATGATCTGCTTTCATTGTACTTGTCCAACATGTCAACGTATATCATCGTTGTCATATCCTCAAAAGCAAAAGGGAAATGAGGATAACAGTGTGAAAATTTACGAATAGAATATCTAGCAGTGATATACAAGTCAATATCATTCAGCGTGTTTAATTGGAATAATTAAGTGATATATAATTCCAAAAAGAATGGTCTAAGCTCAAAAAGGGGTTGGTACGTCAGGGTCTAAATGGTCTAATCACTCGATATTGGTCATCTTGTCCAGTGATGGTTGAATAAAGTGATAGTCTAATCACTCGATATTGGTCATCTTGTCCAGTGATGGTTGATTATTTACTCTTATGGGCGAATTTTTCCGAATACACAAAATTCAACAAGGCAAAGTCTGTGAATGATCAAGAAAGATCAGAAGCACTAAGCATCATAGAAACTGTCTCTGCAAAATAGGATGACTTATCTAACATTTTAACTAATAAGTAGCTGTGAATCTCATTTACCGTCACAGGAGATTCGATTGACAGAAAATCGAGATTATTCCATAGAAAGAACACCTTTTTTTTACATTGTCCTCCTTCCTAGAATGTTACAAAGTTCTTTTTTTCTTACCATAAGCATACATAATTAGAAGTAGCTCCAAAATGGTCACAGTACATGCACCTGTTGAAGCAGAAAATTTGTTGAATATGGTGAACCAAAAAAAATTCATTCTGTGAGGGCATTTTATAGTAAAGCCACTCTAACTGGACGAATCGAATTAGTTAGTTTTCCAGTTTTGTATTCTTAACATGCTTAGAACACTATCACCTTTGTAGGGCGAGGAAAAGCTCTGAAAATTTCCTTACTTTTTTCCAACAGTAGGGAATATCGCATGAAAAAATGAAATCATTTAATTCATTCAAATCACCTGAATGAATCTATTTGTTTATGCGATGTTTCTTCTGTGATGTTGAAAAATTCTGAAAAATTTATTAGAATTTTTTCGCACCGTCTAGATGAAGAGAAATCTTTTTTAAGCACATTTGAGTACTGAGAACATATCGCTGATACTGTCGTTATGCCGCTCTTTGAATGATATAGTAATGATTAGCTTAGAATTACAACAATACATAGACCACTGAGGTATTGAAGCCAAAGTTAATTGCGCTGCCACTTATTCTTACTCCATCCTTTGAATTTCATTTGCACAATCGCGCTCTGTTGATATGGAGGACGCAATTCCTCACTATGTTAAGAATAATACACAAAGCTACGATGATGACAGATACTCATGTAACATTTAGGAAGCAGAAATGATTCTTGGTGTTCTCCTCAAGTTGCGAATTTGGCCGCAATTTTGCATTGTGGATATCAAATGATGGATAAGAAACTACGTCTAGTCACAATTTATCAGCCAGAGCAGGAATCACTACAGTTCAAACATTGTGTTTACGAAACACAAGTCAGCTATGCTAGTAACTCATTCGTGAAGAGACAAAATGTTCAATGGCGTTTTCGGAGCAGTGGCTGATATCGTTTGCACTCTGCAGACTT